TGGATGCAGAGATGGCTTCCTGGAAGTCCACAGGTACCTACGTTGACGCTGTTCCCCCTCCTGGGGCGAACATAGTCAGTGGCATGTGGATCTTCAGGGTGAAGCGACCGCCGGGTTCTCCGCCTGTCTTCAAGGCGCGTTACGTGGCTCGTGGCTTCAGTCAGCGGCAGGGAGTTGACTACTTTCAGACCTTCTCCCCCACCCCGAAGATGACCACTCTTCGGGTACTGCTGCACGTTGCTGCTCACCGTGACTACGAGCTGCACTCTCTCGACTTCAGCACAGCTTTCTTGCAGGGCAGCCTGCACGAGGAGATCTGGCTGCGTCGCCCACCTGGCTTCACTGGGTCTTTCCCTCCTGGTACCCAGTGGAGTCTCCGGCGTCCAGTCTACGGTCTCCGCCAGGCGCCACGTGAGTGGCACGACACACTGAGGACTAGGCTGGCGGCACTCGGGTTTGCTCCTTCTACTGCCGACCCGTCGCTGTTTCTGCGCACCGACACCTCTCTTCCGCCGTTCTACATCCTCGTGTACATCGACGACTTGGTCTTTGCCACAGCTGACACTGCTGGACTTGCCTACGTGAAGTCCGAGCTGCAGAAGAGACACACGTGCACTGACCTGGGTGAACTGCGCAGCTACCTTGGCTTGCAGATCACCCGGGACAGAGCACGCTGCACCATTACCCTGACTCAGTCACACATGGTGCAGCAGGTCCTTCAGCGCTTCGGCTTCACGTACTCCTCGCCTCAGGCCACTCCTCTGCCTACTCGCCACTCACTCTCAGCTCTGCCTTCGGATGAGTCCGTAGAGTCGAGTGGCCCGTATGCAGAGCTTGTTGGCTGCCTCATGTACCTGATGACCTGCACACGACCTGACCTTGCATACCCTCTTAGCATTCTCGCACGCTATGTTGCTCCTGGGAGACACCGACCAGAGCACATGGCTGCAGCGAAGAGGGTGTTGCGCTACTTGTGCAGTACGTCGGGCATGGGGCTAGTGCTTGGAGGGCGCAGACCAGTGGTCCTCACTGGGCACGCGGACGCTTCTTGGGCGGACGACCAGGCTACGCAGCGGTCGTCACAGGGTTACACCTTCAGCCTTGGTTCCGGCTCTGTTTCGTGGCGGGCTACCCGCTCGTCTTCTGTTCTCGGCTCCAGTTGTGAGGCTGAGATCTACGCCGGGGCTATGGCTGCCCAGGAGCTTCGCTGGCTCACCTACATGCTGACCGATCTTGGAGAGCCGCCTCGTTCTCCTCCAGTCCTGTACGTAGACAACAAGGCCATGCTGGCCTTGTGTCGAGAGCAGCGACTGGAGCACAGGACAAAGCACATTGCTCTCCGCTACTTCCTTGCTCGTGAGCTACAGCAGCGTGGACAGTTGCGACTTGCGTACGTGGCCTCTGGGGCCAACACTGCTGATGTATTCACCAAGGCACTTGCGCCTTGTGATCATCAGCGTTGCTGTACGCAGCTGGGTCTTGTGCCTGTCTTGCCTCACTAGCTCTCTTCTTGACCTTGCTTGTACCTTCACCTATATATACTCTTGCTCTTGCTTGCTTGACTCTTGTATATCTCTATATATGATCTTGCATGTGAACTGGCCTTCTGGCCTTTGAAGTTGTGCTCGGAATGTGTGGTGACTTTGTGATCCACCCTGAGCTTTGCTTTGTTTTGCTTGACTGGTCTTGTGACCCCTTGTTCTCCCCCACTTTGCCTATGGGGGTGTGTCAGAACATTATAGCTTATGCTGTTGTGTAGGCTATAGTGGGGTATCCCATAGGGGGTACAACCCAATTAGGGTTTCATATTTGTACTCACTTCATTCATAGTTCATTCATTCTCGTTCACTTCTTCTCAGACGCGCCACCAATCCATGGCGGGTCCTCGCAGCAACGACATGGCGTAGCGGATTTTCACCGTATCCTCCGAGACGTAGTTGGCGTCGAAAAACACGTTCATCGTGAACGACCACGCCTGAACCGTAGGACCACCCCGTTGGCTGGGATCGAAGCATGGCGGACGCTGCGGCTTCAGCGGCATCGGTGACGGCAGTGCCGAACCGTCGGTTGGTGCCGACATTGTGACGCGTGGCTGGCTTCGGGCCGCATTCGTCGCTTCGGGGTGTGTCGTGCCGTGGTCGTCGTTGTCAGAATGTTATATTTGTTGTCTAGCCTGCAGTGGGGTACTCTATAGCGAGTATAACCCCTTAGGGTTTCATATTTGTATCTCATTGCTTGCTAGTACAACACCCTCTTTTGCCTAACTTTCCTTTGCCTAGCTAGGACTATCCTATCTATGGCTACTATCATTACCTACCTAATTTCACAGTCGTCTCCGTCGGGGCGGACGACGCCATCATTGGCCGCACTCGCGGGTTGCCCCACGCTTCCGTGTTGTGAGGCCTGTGGTGCGGGCTGTTCCGGAGTGCCAGGTGCTTGAGATTGTGCCTGTTGTGCTCGTGTGAGGTCATTTTGCAGGTACGAGCATTCTGCCGTCAGCGTCGCGATTTCCTCGGCGCTCTCGCGGATTTGCCGCAGCAGATCGTTCAAGTGCTCCTGCGTGAGCGTCGTGATATCAATGTGCTCGGCCATTTCGAAGGGTGTCGGCTCGTCTTAGTCTATGCGCTGTCGTGGCTGCACGCATTTACGAGAGAACGCGAGGACAGCGGCTCCTAGGTGCTAAGGTGCGTGAGTCCCTTCGAGTGAAAAATCAAAAGTTGATTTATTGGGATACGGAGATGCGCGGTCCGAAAGAAAGGGGCTCTGAATACCAAGTGTTACGGGTGCAATGAATCGAATTAGCGAGAATTGCACTAAGGTGTCAAACGAGTACAAAGATGTGAGCGAAGGCGTGAGCGAACATTTATACGCGAACATGCAAACGGTAACGCGGTGCGTGCGAGCTAGCTAATGCTACGCTAGCAGCAACAAAACTCAGGCTAGCCCCGAAGCGTAGGCCGACACGGCCGGGCCAGTAGTGCGAGGTTTGGCAAAACAGTGCGCGCGAAGTTGGCGAAGTCCCGTTAGCAGTAACGGGCGAACAACGGCTGTTGCTGTACGCGATGTAGTCGGGCTCCGTAAGGAATGCCGAGAAAATTCCTTACAATACCTCACTGTTCTCACTTATGCTAAGAAAAATGATACACTTGATCAAGCTTATGATGAAGTGGAAACAAAGCGGTGGTGAATGGTGGGAACCTAATCGGCAATGATATGTTGTGGTTCTTGAGATATTCTGGCGCTTTTCGAGCAGCATTAGTCCTTTTCCTGAACAAGTGGTCCATTCAACTCCTACATGTAAACGCAATCAACAACTTGTAGGTCGAATGGCCTGGAGAAGGCAGCACACACGTGTCCGATTAATTCTCTGTGTACATGTCATGTGCAGAACCTTCGGACGCACGCTGTACAAATTGTGTCGGGACAATGATGTGATTTAGGCAAATGTGCGGACGGAATTTGAGGCGCTCGAATGCAGGGCTGCTCCCTGGAACTTATGATGAAGCAAAAGCTGGGAGCAGTCGCTGCTACGTGGCTTCTCCCAATCTGATGGGAATGCTGTTCAATTTAGCCAGTTTTTTCTTCTGCTTACATAAAATGAGCGGCCCTGGAGCTGCCCGTGCGTTTCTATTTTAGGGGCCAACACGTGCAAACAGTGAAGTTGTCATTATATAGACCGTCTTGGTTACGTATATATAATAGCTTGGGCAGAAACTAGTTTCTCTGCCTGCGCTACTGCACTACTGGAACTAGAAACCACAACCCAGCATCTTTCTTCTTACGTAAGATATTCTGAAGTTCACAAATCTATATCTGGCTGCTTACTTAAGATCCTCAGGAATGGACTAAAAGCCGCGCATTTTGTGTGAAACGCAAGGGTTTTCAGCCCGAACCGGTGCGCACAACCTAGTGGAAATAAATACAGGCTGTTCTCCTTACGGTCAGTGTAGGTAGGGAAAGCATACACTGACAAAATAAAGAACTATCTGGGTGTCGAGCCAGTCACTGGGGGAGTGAGGGAATCACGTGTTGACAGTTAATCAACACCAAGCATGCGGGAATGCCCAACGAACTCAAATGACTGGATGGAAATGGAGGGAAAGTCGACCGAGGCAGTTCGCTAGGACACGATAGGCTGTGGGAAGAATCTCGCTTGACGTTCAGCATGAGGGGATTCCGGCGACGGACGGTCGACGTGAAAGCGCTTGGATTCGCACCACGCTCACGAGATCACCTGACTGGTTCACCGAAGGCAGCGGGAGGGGGGGCCAGGATAACCTCTGGACATCCGACGCGGAAATCTTTCTCAGTGAGCGCGACGCGAGATCTGAGGCAACAAAACCCCATGTCCACAATCTTCCCACACCTCCTTGTTCCCCCCATTCCTCCCTCTCTTGGTCCCCCCCCACAACCCAATTCTCCCGCCCCCCCCCCCACCGAATCCTAATCGCTCTGTCCGCTCTACCTTCCATCCAGCAGATCCCCATTCTCCCATTCATTCCCCTTCCCCCATTCCTCCCTTCCATTTATTGTTTGCTGCTTTCTGCCGCTGACTGCTTTGACACAACTGATCGGAACCTACCGCTTCCTACGATATTCCCTGCAATGAGATTCCAGTTGGGTGTCCTTTGCGTCTTGAGACTTATCCTGAAGCCCGTAGTTCAAACGTATACAGTCGTCCGCAACTTCTACGAACTATTCTTTAGAGTGGAATTTCCGCAATAGGAAGAAACTAACCCGCTAAACGAGTGCGGACCCGCTACATTAGGGCCCGCTAAAGGTGGTCAGGTTTGTTCACAATCATGGATTCGAGGTTCCAAGCTCCCCCATTACTCCATCCAGCCAGACCCGCCAGCGATAGCCGTATTTTCGAACCCGCACATCCTAGAGCACAACCCGCAATATCTGGTGCACAGACCGCATTCTCTGACTACTCAACATCCGCCGCATGTCCCGACATTTCACGCTCCAGCACTAATTCCGACGCGAATCTCGCCGCCATGCCAGCTCTAGACCGCCGGCCAAGTTGCAGCCGTGTACTCGCTGACGTGGAAATGGCGGCGCTGGAGGGCAAACTGGCTCTTCTCGAGTCGCAGCGGCAGCTCAGCGCCGTCAAGTGTCGCATCTTCGTCGACATGATGGAATCAACTATGCAGTGCGCCGAGGAGACTACTATCGAGAAATACGCAGCGTATACTGAGAAGGACATCGATTTGAGCTTTGAGGTGCCCGCATACGAACCCTACAGTAAGAGGGACAACGGGCTGGCACGAACTCTATCATCATCAGGCGCGAAGCAGCACGCGCCGTGCGAAAGATTGCGCGCGACGAACACAGCTCGCAACAGTAATAGCAGCACCGGCGGCGGCGGCGGTAGCAGTGGTGACGGGCGGAGGGCGTACGAGCCTTTCGCGCCGCCGAGAGTCGACAGCGCGTATCGCCGGAGGTCCATCGACGTGCCGTCGGTGTCATCAGCATCGGCGCGCTGCGCGTCGTGGCGGGTAGATATGATCTTCTACACCCCCAGTGCAAGTGGCACCGGAAGCCCCGCCCGCCCTCTTTCCCGCCGCCGCAGCGGCTCTTTCCGCGCGCCTGGTCACCCCCGCGGGACTCCGGACGCCGCCTGCGCCGAGCCGCTGCCCCGCGATGTGACCGAATTGCCTCGTGGCGGCGGCGAGACCCGACGCGCAGCTACTGCGGGGCGGCGATCATTTCAAACGACTCGGGAGCTGCGATACGGGCAGGGGCACGAGGATCGCTGCGCCGCAGAGCTGCGCGGTGTGCGTTGGCCTGCCAGTCAACTCAGTCATGCGAGTCAACCGGATTTGCGCAGTCAGTCGAGCCTGCGAATTCAACGGCTGTCGCAGAGAGATCTCGTTTCGGCGTCCGACGAATGCGATTGGCTCGCGAATCCGTCGCTGCCCTCGCGTGCGGCAACGGAACCCTCATCCAACGGCTGCATTCGCTCCACGTCATTGTCGTCGTTCATCGTGCCGTCCGTCTTCTCGTCCTCCAACTCTATCGCCACCACGTCCCCTTTCTGCGATTCATCCTTGGAAACAGGCTCTTCCCGCTCATCGTCCCCTGCTTCCGCATCGTCCGCTTCCCCCTCCAGCCCCGTAGCTTCTGCCCGCCTGCGCTCTCCCTGGACCAATGCCGCGGGTCCCTTCGACCAACTTGCGCCCGTTCCCGCTCCACCTGATGTCCCGCTGTCCGCCCTAGAGCCAATCCAAAATGGGCCGTGCGCCAAAGAAGAAACGAGCAAGTCGCGGGGAGGCTCCTGGCGCCGGCGCGCGCAACCGAAAGCGGAGCAGCGCGCGGATAAAGCAGTCGAGGTGTCGACTGCGCAGGAAGGGAAGCCGTCAGCGCACCGCGACAGACGCCGAATGAGTCTGGGAGGATTCGCGAGCAGTCTGTTGGGTGATTTGCGGTACAGATAGGTTTGTTACCGTACCGTTTTGTTCCAATAATGGGGCAGGTTGAAAGTGCATAACAAGGGCTAAATTCGTTCCCATAACAGGCTTTGGTGTTAGTCATATACGACTACGTGTAAGAAAAATCCCTTTTCCTTACTTCGCATCCCTGCTCAACGCGTACATCACTGTAGCACCTCAGTCAGCACCGTTACCACTCGCAATCATCGCATCGACAATCATCCCGCCATTTTCGCACATCGCATCCCGACCCCACGGCTTGGCTGGTAACCCGCGCTCCGGGCTTTCCCAACCTCAGTCCCAGGCTCGTCGCGCGACAACCACAGTCAATTACCGTTACCACTGTAGTTTCGATATATATTCTTCGCTCATGCCTTCGCTCATTGGATACTTGCTTCGATAGCGCAATTCTCGTTCATTCACTCACTTGCACTTGTAACACATGGTATTCAGAGCCTACGATCTCATCTCGGACCGCATCCACACCTTCACTTCCCCACTATCTCAATTTTTTGGGGGGGGTAGACATCTCTCAGCGATATAGCACCGCCGCTCGTAGTGCTCTCTCGTAAGCACGCACGGCCACGTCCGCTGAGCTTGCCCAACACCCCCGCCATGGCCGAATTCACGCTCGCCATATTAACGCAGGAGCAGCTTGACCGTCTCGTGCGTCAGCTGGAAGATTCGGCGCTCGAAATCGCGACGCTCACGGCGGAACGTGCCTCCGCCCGTCAACAGTCCACGGTGAACATTCCGGCGACATCACACGCACCAACAAATGCATCTGCACAATCGGACGAGCCGATCATCATCTCGTCCAGCACACCAACACAACACGACAGCATGGGCCAACGCTCAGGCGCAGCCAGTGACGGCGTCGCCCAGCCGATGCCTGGCATGGGAGGAGGCAGGATCGCACCAAGCCCGCGGGAGCCCCGGGAAGCCCGTCGGCACGTGGAATTTGCGGCGACAAGTGGCGAACAGGCCATCATGACACCAATGCCGCTCAAGCCGCAACGCCCGCCTTGCTTCGACCCAAGCCAACGCGGAGGTCCGACGGTTCATGTCAGAATGTTATCTTATGTTCTAGCCTGTAGTGGGGTGCTCTATAGCGAGTACAACCCTTCTAGGGTTTGCTATTTGTATCCCCATTTCTGCTAGTTCAATCCTCTTTCTTTCTTCTAATTTTGTCATGCTATCAGAGCAGGTCGATCCCCTTGGATCGATCCTGTGGGTGGGTTACCACCTCCACGCTTCCGCTACCATTTTTTTTCTTCCCGCCGTGCGCCCCGAGGCGCGCGGCGGTTTTTCTGCCCGCCGTGCGCCCCGAGGCGCGCGGCGGTTTTCTGCCCGCCGTGCGCCCCGAGGCGCGTGGCGGTTCTCTGCCCGCTGTGCGCCCCGAGGCGCGCGGCGGGCTTCTGCCCCGTCGTTCGCCGCGTCGCCCTCTGGAGGCGCCGCGACGGGCGACGGGGACCCGTCGCGGCCCCGCCGCCCCACCATCGCGGCCCCGCCACCGACCTGTCGCGGCCCCGCCGCTTTCCTTCGCGGCCCGTCGCCCTACTCGTCGCGGCCCCGCCCCCCCCCCCCCCCCTCCCCCCGCAAGCGGCCCCCTCAGGTCGCCTCGACAGACGACGGGAGGGGCGAGCTGTGGGGTGGCGGGTATGGGGGTGGCTGGTGTGCATTCCTCCCTTTGCTCCTCCTCCTCCTTCGTCTCCCACTGCTGCAGCTGTCGCTGAGGGGGGTGGATGTGTGGGAGACTGGGTTTAGGGTTTAAGGGGGGTGCGTGGGAGTGGAGCTAGCGGTGTAGCAGTGGGTGTGTATCAGGGGGGTGGGACTGTCTGCGGGAGGTTGAGTGGAGGCTGCCAGCTTGTTGTCCGCAGCACCTATAGTCCGGGGCGTTGTCCCGGTAGCCCAGTGAGCTTGTCGCTGCGCCAGTCGCCTGTGGGTCCGTTGCCCGTCTGCCGCTGCTTAAGCCGCGGGGCCTGTTGCTCCTGTAGTCCGGGCGCTTAGTCCGGTAGCCACTGTGCTCGCCACTCCTGTTGCCCGTGTGTCTGCAGCTTCAGCCGCCGCCTTCTATCTCCTCTCCTCTCACTCTCTCTCCTCCTCCTCACTTGCCCGTTGTGACTACCACTAGCTTTGCTCATAATTGTGCACTCTAAACTATTTCTTCTTGAACTTGTGCTCAGAATGTGTGGTGACATTGTGATCCACCCTGAGCTTGTACTGCTTTGCCTGCTCTGCTGATTACACCCCACTTTGGCTATGGGGGTGTGTCAGAATGTTATCTTATGTTCTAGCCTATAGTGGGGTGCTCTATAGCGAGTACAACCCTTCTAGGGTTTGCTATTTGTATCCCCATTTCTGCTAGTTCAATCCTCTTTCTTTCTTCTAATTTTGTCAGTTCAATCGTGGGTCTTCACGATGAACGTCTTCTTCGACGCAAACTACGTCGAGTCGGACGCCGCGAAGATTCGGTATGCAGTTTCGCTGCTAAGGGGCCCCGCCATGGACTGGTGGCGAGTCATCGTGACGTCGCCACGCGCCTATGAGCCACCGTCGCACGAGGAAGGGCCCACGGGTCCGGCTGTCACCTGGAGTTCGTTCTGCGAGACCGCCCAATACAGCACGTGGGATGCGTGGTGCGCAGGGCTTCGGGCGCGCTTCGAACCGATCGCGGCTTCGATATCGGCGCGTCAGAGATTGCGCACTTGGCGCCAGCTCGGGTCGGTTCAAGATTATACAAGCGATTTTCTCGCACTTTGCGAGCAGGTCGGCTACATGCACGAAGCGGAGCGGGTGGACCGTTACGTTGGAGGGCTGAAGCCGGATATCTCGCACGAAATAATGCTGCGCGGACTCTCTAACTTCAACGAGATTCTCGCGCTCGCCGAGAAAATCGACATCCTACGCCGACCGAGACCGGGGTCCTACTACGGACAACGCCCTCGGGGACCGACCGAGCACGCCACTGTACACGCCGTTGCAACGAATGCAGCTGCCGCACCGTTTAAGGGGCGCTGCTTTGCTTGCAACAGGCCGGGCCACCGCAAGAGCGAATGCCCAGAGGAGCTGAGGCGCCGCGGAGCAGAGCAGGGGAGGGAGTCTCAGAGGCAGGGAAACGCCAGCAGTCAGTAGAAGTTGGGCCAACTACTGACGAGACTGCCTGCTCGCCCAACCACACCGACCCTCACCGAGTCACAGTACCGATTCACGCCATCGATCGGGCTCGAATGAATAAGGAGGGTACAGCGACGGATTGCCCAGTACTGATCTACGAGAAAATACAGGGAGCAGCAGTAAAGATTTTTATTGACGAAGGAGCAAGTCACAGTTTAGTTAATACCGCGACCGCACGGAAACTACAGTTAACACTTGACCGTTGCTTACCTGAGATAGACGCACGCTTGGTCGACGGCACGCCACTGGCCATACGGGAAAAGGTGGAGCGAGTAAAAGTCCGCTGCGGGGGGAACTTCGGGTTTACACAGGAAATGCTCGCAACGACACTGGATGGGCACGACATTTTATTGGGACGTGATTGGCTGCGACGGTATAACCCGCGAATCGACTGGACGACGGGTAGCTGCACCGTGCGAAGTAATGGTAACTGGGTCGAATTACCTCGCTGGCAGTCGCCCGAGTCTTCAACGGTCCACGTCAACGCCATCACGATGAAACGGGTTGTCGCCGCGGGAGCTGACGTGTACGCAATAGATATAGCATTAGTAGGAGAAGAGGAGCAGCCAAGCGATTTTCAGAAACTGTTGGCAACAGTACCGCCCGAACTTCAGGAACTGTTGAAACGGTACTCGGGGATTTTTCCAGACGACTTACCGCAAGGGCTGCCACCTCAGCGGGCACATGACCATAGGATCGAGTTAGAACCGGGGGCACAGCCAACTGTACAGCGCCAGTTCAGACTGACACAGCCCAAGCTCGACGAACTAAGGAAGCAGTTAGATTATCTGTTAGAGAAGCAGTTTATCCGACCGAGCTCGTCACCGTTCGCCGCACCGATACTGTTCACACCGAAAAAAGACGGAGGGTTTCGCATGTGCATCGATTACCGAGCGCTCAACAGAGTAACAGTCAAATCGCGGTACCCCATCCCCCGCGCCGACGAACTGATCGACCAGCTGCGAACAGCACGGGTATTTTCGAAAATAGACTTACGGGGGGGTTACCATCAGATTCGGGTCGAACCATCGGACTGCGCCAAGACAGCATTTAGAACTAGGTACGGGTCATTCGAGTACACGGTGATGCCTTTCGGGCTGACCAACGCGCCTGCAACATTTCAGATGACCATGAACGAGGCGTTTAGGCCACTTTTAGATAAATGCGTGATAGTTTACCTCGACGACATCCTCGTTTACAGTCACGACCAGAAGCAGCACTTAGTCGATCTCGAAGCAGTTTTTAAAATTTTAGCGGAACATCGATTACTCACCAAGGGCTCCAAGTGCGAGTTTTTTCGGGACAGGCTAGAATTTTTAGGACACGTTATTTCGGAGGCTGGAGTTGAAATTGATCCAAGGAAGCTGGATACTGTCAAAGCGTGGCGTCCCCCGACGAACATGACGGAACTGCAGAGTTTTTTAGGGTTCGTTAATTACGTCTGTCGGTTCGTCCCCGACATGGCACGCTTAACAGCCCCGCACACAGATTTACTGCGTCTGGGGGTCGCTTTTAAGTGGGGGGAGAAAGAGCATGCTGCCTTCTCTGCCCTGAAAATTGTTCTCTGTTCACCACCCGTCCTACGCATCGCTGACCCACACCGCCCCTTCGAGGTTGTTACAGACGCGAGCGACATCGCCATCGGAGCCGTACTGCTACAGGACTTCGGCAACGGCCTCCAACCCATCGCCTACGAATCACGCAAACTGCATCCGCCTGAGCGAAATTACCCGATACACGACCGCGAAATGCTCGCGATCATGCGTGCGTTCAAAGTGTGGCGCTGCTACTTGACCGGCGCAGACGTGAGAGTACGGAGAGACCATCGA